CTGTTCTATATGTAAAATTATCAGACTGTTTGAGGCCCGTTAGGGCCGAAAACAGTCTGATAATTTTACATAAAGAATTGTATGAGGCATATATCTTACTTAAAACATTGCTATTTAAATGTCCAAAAGTTACCTGGAGGAGACCGATATTAACACAAAAGGAGTTCAGGCATCAATAGTTTTCTACCTGAAACCATCTAATAAGTAGACAAAAGAAAAGAGAAAGTTTTTTTTCTTTAGACAGGAAAACCAGTGAGTGAACTCTTGTTTCATTCATTCATTCAATGGCAGTCGTTTGGCTTAGCAGGAACTATGGACAATGGTCAGGTGATGAAGAATTTTTTTTTATGATTCGGAATATTTTTTTTATTAAGTGCGTTTGAGATTGATACAGTGTTGGATGATATCTTCAAAATTCATTTAAAGTAAAAATGCGGATTTTTATCTAAAAATTTGATTGAATGATATAATGAAAATCTTGGGTTTTAAAACTGCGGTCATTGGCGAACAAACCTCGTTAAAAGAAGAGATTCGCAGACTGGTTCTTTATCAGAAATGGATTTAAATTGGCTTATTCACAGTGCTGTATCGAAAACGCTTTGCAAAAAACCGAATGGAAAGTGTTACTTTTGAGGAAGGTTAAAACTCCAGTTTCTTTTTCTTGGATTCGCTATTTTTAACAACTTAATTTCCTCGCGTTCGCTTTCCCTGAATTTGTTCTCCCTAACTTTTTTTTGATTTCTGGGCATATTAAACCTTGATTTCACTTTAGTTGTTGTTTTTAACTACTGTCCGATTTTGTTATCACTGCCGTCCGATAATATATTATTGGACTTGTAATTATTATTATCGGACGGCTACAGGTAAATTTTTAGACTGCAAGAACAAAGGCATGACGTCACAGCAATGTTTTAACTGTAGTTAACACACAAGAAAAATAATTTTATCTAATAATGATTCAGTAAAATAAATCATTCTTGTGTATAATGATTTTTGTCTTGCTTTTAAGGACAGATGATACAAACAATTTATTTTTCAAATATCTTGAAAATTACAACTTTAATCATGTTTATATAAGTAAAATCAATAAGTTTAACCACTTAGTTTTTAATTTTTCATTCAAAGATTCACAATAATGGGATTTAAAGGGACAAAAAATTGTATAGATTATTAAGGATGGTTGCAGAAAGGTGGAATTTTGAACATCGTAGAAAGTTTACAATTTCTTAATATTTTAGAAATTTATTATTTACAATCAAAATAGGTCCAAAAATATATACTTATCCGGACATCCATTTATTTTGTGTCATCTGTCCTTAAGTAAATTTCGATTCAAAGTATTATACGAGTACATAGGTCACTGAAATCTTGTTTTCCCTCTTAGAATTTTTTTGAGACATGGCAAAATATTACGATAAAACTAGAGAAAAAAAACCTGTAACACGCCTCTATATGCGTACAATGGATGAGGGTGAAACCAAAATGTCTGATTCAGTGCCAACTTCGCCTGGACAAGGTATTGAGGGTTTTTTTTCTTTTCTTCGTTTTTTGTGTCGCCTGCAGAGCAGAGCGGCACTAAGGGATCACTTTACCCGACGTCTGTCTGTCTGTCTCTCTATCGGTCTGTCTGTCCGTCCGTCTGTCTTTTTGTCACCTTATATCTCAAAAACTGTAAGAGGTATGGATTTGATATTTTGCACATATATTGCTAGGCACCATGGCTTTTTTAAATTACTATGGTTACGGACTTCGTAACCTATGACCTTAACCTTTGACCTACTTTTCAAAATAGTTGATAATGCCGATATACAGCATATTTTTGACATTTAATAGATTAGTCTATGCTATTTAGCATATGCACTGTTTGTCATGAGAAAATATGAAAATATCAATGTTACAATCCACTTGACCTTGACCTTTGACCTACTTTGCAAAAAAATATCTCGGTCAGTTTAATTAAACTGATGACTTTTGAATTTTGAGAAGCAGGGTTTAGATAATTAGCATTTATACATGTTTATGAGCTCATGATAGTGTACTTTGAAACCGTATGTTATTCAGTTACAATACAAAATTATTTTTAAATACTATGAAAATACATCGGGATCGGTATTCCACAATGGATCTTGCAGTAAGGAAAGATTGAAATCTCTTTTGAATGATTATTGGAAACACGTTTAGCTCATGAAAAAGTACATTGAAACTGTATGATACCACACAAACTTATATTTGAATACCATAAAAAATATTGGGATCGGCACTCAACAATGGAACGTGTAGATTGATAATTGCAGTAAAGACAGATTGAAATTTCCTCTGGAGGATTCTTGAAAACACGTATAAATAAAATCTCTTCTGGAAAATTGTTGGAAACACGTATTCATAAAATGACAAATAATTATTTCAAATAATTTCAATTTAATTATTCATTTGAGGATTATGGAAACAAATTATTTTTAATTGTCAGATCCTATCGCAGTCTTGTACTATCCACGGATGCCATTTTTACTTTGCAGGCAAATGCATGAACTTTCAGTCTATTATGCGTAAGTTAATAAAAAGCTGACTAGCCTTAGATTTATGTACACCTTTAATGAAGATACAAAGCAAGCGACACATGCGTTCCTTGGAACATTCTTGTTTTTCTACCCAGGAATTCTAGCCACGAGGGTTGTTACCTCTGTACCGAGTGTTAAAAATATTTTTTATTTCAACATCTAAATTAGATTTCGTTATAAATTATGTTCAATATAATTCAAATTTACTTGTATTAATATTTTAACTCTCTGAAAGCAACGTTTTCGCGACTTTTTCAGCATATGGCTCATTTGCTAATATAGGACCACGCGACTTTTCATACAAACGGGAAGTAACTCTCAATATGGCCGTTCACGATTAAAGTTCAAAGGACAGGTGAGGATGAGTATATTACTTTTAAAAATTTATCTGAATTCCTTAATTTCAACGATGAACCTAACTGAATGATATAAAGAACATACATTTTTTACAAAAATCAATGGGAATTCCGTGTGTTTAATATTATTATATGAAATTATGGAATTTTACAAATATTACTGATTACTATGATATTTTCTACCGATGTAGAGATTTACGAATTTTTCTCCTTATGAAATATAGGCCAAACAAGCTGTACAGGTAATACTCATGGACTTCCAGTGTATACTGTTTGTGTATAAGGATTAGCGCTGTGCACGACCTGCACGACCGTCAATGCCTAGGGGTACCACGCATGTAAAATTAAGTCCCTCCCCTTACCTGAGAAAACCGTATGGTTAAAACGCAGTACAGTTAAGGTGCCAAATGGAAATATCGGCGATTTTTTTAGATAGAAAATACAATCTTTACAAGGATGGGCGATTCTTCGTAGGACTTTACTATTATCGGACAAATGCAATGTGGATGAAAACTACATGTTGAGGACGATTAGATTTCTTATTTAGACTTGTCACGTGATGTGGCAGTCACGTGATTTTAGCAAATATACCTGAATTATTGAGGTCATCTAGAAATTCCAATATTGCAAGGGCATAACCAAGTTAAAAATCAAAGTTTAATTTATAATTATTTTCAACACTCTTTGTAGTTTGTGAAAAGTGCTGCGAACCTATATAGATTCTACTATCTAATTGTTAAAATTACATTTGTTAGACCATATGTTGAATATTTCGCTGGTCAAGTACATTAAATATAGATATAATTAATTCATTTGCAAGATTTCATCAGGTTTGCAGCACTTTTCAAATATCTTCATACTTCTTGACTTTATGTGTAAAAGCTTGACATAATTCATTGAGGGTATGCCCTTGCAATATATCGATTTATTACGACCCTTCTTTTACCTTTCAATGAATCTGTATACAAATATACGACAGTATTGCTTGTCTATTGAATGTACGGGAAGTATATCAATAAAATCATAAAATAGACATCGCATCCAAGTTAATGGCCTCTTATATATCTGCAAATAATATTTTATTTAATTACAAAAGACATTTTTCATTGTATAAAATATAACTAGATCCGCCTCTCACTGCATACAAACTGCGTCAAATTTTACGATATGACGTCACATAGACAAGTGCATTGCGATCAGTTAATTGTTTATATATTGCTGTGCGGGATTTAACCAACAACAAAAATGCATGCAATAGTAAGTATTGATGTATTGATGTAGTTTAAAGCTATCCCAGAGTTTAAAATAGCAAATCATTTCATTTTGTGGTATTTTGAAGAACTTATATTTTTGAGTGATGTCATAGTAAGCATTTCCTGTATAAATTAGGCCCCGCCTCCTTACTGCAGCCTTAACTGTGCTGCGAAATCTCGGCCTTTAAGAATTATTTATTCACAATTTTTATGCATGCTATCAATAAGGAATTATTCTATCGATACAACAAAAAACAACACTCATCTTTTCCCCACGTCAACTTTCAAACACAACCACAAATAGATCGGCCGCTGCTGTGGTCGATAATGAATTTTCTTGTCAAGTGTTTCTTGGGAAGATTTATAAAATTACCCCCACTCGTTCCCACTGACATTAAGCATGACAATTCTTTCAAAAAGAATGGGCTTTCAATTATTCAAGGATGATTTGTGCCAATATTAATTAAAATTCATTCATAGTTTCTTGAGAAATAGATATCTGAAAAGAAAACAGACGGCAATTCTTAAATGGAAGTAAAAACATTCACCAGAAAAGCTCACTTAATACTTTTGCTCAGGTGACTTAAAATTATTTCAGAAAGGACAAAGAAGCTTAGTCAGACCAAAAGAAAATGAATCAAAATCTTTTATGTTTATTGCAAATGATTACGAACTCATAGTTTAAATTATGGATTAAAAGCAAGTGTACTAAATGTAAGAAAAGAAAAATGTAGTAAATCAGCACACAAGCAATAATGGAAATTGAATTACAATTTAAAATGCAGTCTGTAATTACATTAATAATAATAATAATACATGTACAATCTTTTCAATCATACCTGTTGATATCGGTAACTTGATTTATTAGTTTTTTTACAACAGGAACATATTGCTCGAAAAAAAGAAAATAAAGAGGTGATTTTCTCATTTTCTTCGAATGAATCCCATTCTCCAGGCTGCCAAATTAATGTTTCTAAAGCAGACAATTTACCTTGCTCTAATGCTTCATGAGAAGTCAGACTTTGAATATCACTCTTGTTGATGTTTGCACCATGATCAATAAGTTTTTCTACAACAGGAAGATGGCCATTAAACGATGCTTGATTTAACGGTGACAAACCACTACCATAACAACTATTGTTAATGTCGGCACCATGTTCAATAAGTTTTCTTACAACAGGAAGATGACCTTCTCGTGACGCTAAATACAGAGATGTCCGACCTTTATTATCACATTTGTTGATGTCAGCACCATGTTCAATAAGTTTTTCAACGACAGGAAGATGACCTTTAAATGATGCTCGATGTAACAGTGACCAACCATAACTGTCACATTTGATGATGTCGGCACCATGTTCAATAAGTTTTTCAACAACAGGAAGATGACCATTCAATAAAGCTAAATAAAGAGATGACCAACCGTTAATATCACAATTGTTGATATCGGCACCATGTTCAGTAAGTATTTCTACAACACTAAGATGACCATTAAAGGATGCTCGATGTAACAGTGACCAACCATAACTGTCGCAATTATTGATGTCGGCTCCATGTTCAATAAGTTTTTCTACAATAGAAAGATGGCCTTCTTCTGAAGCTCTTTTTAAAGGTGTTATTTGATTTTTGTCTCTTATATCACATTCAGCACCGTTCCGTATTAATGTTTCTACAACTTGCAAATGGCCATTTTGGCATGCTAAATGTAGAGATGACTGACCGTGTATATCACATTTGTTTATGTCGGCACCATGTTCAATAAGTTTTTCAATAACAGGAAGATGGCCTTCTCGTGATGCTAAATACAGAGATGACCGACCGTCATTGTCACATTTGTTGATGTCGGCACCGTGTTCAATAAGTGTTTCTACAACAGAAAGATGGCCTTTTACTGAAGCTCTATGTAAAGGTGTTATTTGATTTTTGTCTCTTCTATCACATTCAGCACCGTTCCGTATTAATGATTCTACAACTGGCAAATGGCCATTGTGTGATGCTGAATGTAGAGATGTCTGACCGTATACATCACAATTGTTGATGTCGGCACCATGTTCAATAAGTTTATCTACAACAGGAAGATGTCCATTATTAGATGCTCGATTTAACGGTGACAGACCACTACTATCACAACTGTTGTTGACGTCGGCACCATGTTCAATAAGTTTTTCAACAACAGGAAGATGACCTTCTTGTGATGCTAAATAAAGAGATGACCAACCATAACTGTCACCATTTTTTATTTCGGCACCATGATCAATAAGTCTTTCTACAACATGAAGATGTCCTTTCATTGATGCTAAACACAGAGATGACCGACCTTTATTATCACAATTGTCGATGTCGGCACCATGTTCAATAAGTTTTTCTATAACAGGAAGATGACCTTCTTCTGAAGCTCTATGTAAAGGTGTTATTTGATTTTTGTCGCTTCTATCACATTCAGCACCGATCCGTATCAATGTTTCTACCACTGGCAAATGGCCGTTTTGTGATGCTAAATGTAGAGATGACTGACCGTGTACATCACATTTGTTGCTGTCGGCACCATGTTCAATAAGTTTTTCTACAACAGGAAGATGACCTTTAAGTGATGCTATGTACAAAGATGACCAACAGTCATTATCACAAATGTTGATGTCAGCACCATTTTCAATAAGTTTTTCTACAACATGATGATGACCTTCTCTTGATGCTAAATACAGAGATGACCGACCTTTATTATCACAATTGTTGATGTCGGCACCATTTTCAATAAGTTTTTCAACAACAGGAAGTTTACCTTCTCGGGATGCTAAATAAAGAGATGACCTACTTTTATTATCACATTTGTTGATATCGGCACCATGTTCAATAAGTTTTTCTACAACAGGAAGATAACCTTCTCGTGAGGCTAAATAGAGAGATGACCGACCTTTATTATCACAATTGTTGATGTCGGCACCATGTTCAATAAGTTTTTCTACAACAAGAAGATGACCTTTAAATGATGCTAAACACAGAGATGAATGAGCTTTATTATCATAATTGTTGATATCGGCACCATGTTCAATAAGTATTTCTACAACACTAAGATGACCATTAAAGGATGCTCGATGTAACAGTGACCAACCATAACTGTCGCAATTGATGATGTCGGCTCCATGTTCAATAAGTTTTTCTACAATAGAAAGATGGCCTTCTTCTGAAGCTCTTTTTAAAGGTGTTATTTGATTTTTGTCTTTTATATCACATTCAGCACCGTTCCGTATTAATGTTTCTACAACTTGCAAATGGCCATTTTGGCATGCTAAATGTAGAGATGACTGACCGTGTATATCACATTTGTTTATGTCGGCACCATGTTCAATAAGTTTTCCAATAACAGAAAGATGACCTTCTCGTGATGCTAAATACAGAGATGACCGACCTTTATTATCACAATTGTTGATTTCGGCACCATGTTCAATAAGTTTTTCTACAACAGGAAGATGGCCGTTTAATGATGTTCGATTTAGCGGTGACAAACCACTGCTCTCACAATTTTTGTTGATGTTGGCACCATGTTCAAGAAGTATTTCTACAACAGAAAGATGACCTTCTCTTGATGCTAAATAAAGAGATGACTGACCATGATTGTCACATTTATTGATGTCGGCACCATTTTCAATAAGTTTTTCTACAACAGGAAGATGACCTTTAAGTGATGCTAAATAAAGAGATGACTGACCATGAATGTCACATTTGTTGATGTTGGCACCATGCTCAATAAGTTTTTCTACAACAGGAAGATGACCTTCTTCTGAAGCTCTATGTAAAGGTGTTATTTGATTTTTGTCGCTTCTATCACATTCAGCACCGTTCCGTATTGATGTTTCTACGACTACAAAATGGCCATTTTGTGATGCTAAATGTAGAGATGTCTGGCCGTGTATATCGCACTTGTTGATGTCGGCAGTATTTTTAATGAGTTTTTCAACAACAAGGAGATGGCCTTTTGACGACGCTATTAATAAAGGTGAACAACCATAAATATTACATTTGTTGATGTCGGCACCATACTCAATAAGTTTTTCAACGACACCCACATAACCAAATTCTGATCCAACATACAGAGGAGAATGTCCTCTTCCATCAGATTTGTTACAATCAGCGCCATATTCAAGTAAGTTTATAATTGTTTTTAGATCACCAATTCTAGTTGGAGTCCACAAAGCAGGGTAAAAACTTTTCGTAATATTTATATCTGCTCCATTATTAACTAGATATTTAACAACATCATGTTTCATTCTCAAGCAAGCAGCAATCACCGGGGTTAAGAATCTGTGTTGATTGTTCGATCTATCGACTTCTACAACAGGCATGCTGTTAATAATTGTCTTCCCAAAAATTTCTACCAAAAATTTTACCATGTCTAAATTTCCATTAAAACATGCTAAAACAAGTAATCTTACTTGTTCTTCCTTTGTAGCTCCAAAAACAATGTCTGTGTGCTGATGATGCCTACCCACCAAGTTTATTAAAAATTTCAGCAAATCGAGGTGACCATAATAAATAATAAAGCTAATAGCGCGTATTTCATAGATATTCTTTCCGCCAATACATTTGAGGTCAAGGAGAAGATCTTGTCTTTCATACTCTCTCTGTCCAACTGTTTCCTCGGCATCACTTTCAATTTGCTTCTGTGAGTCATGAATAATACTGTCGAAACATTCTTCCCTTGGTAATAAGAAATATTTCTTGACATCATTGTACGGTGCCAAAATGCTTATGAACTGCTGCTGAAAGTCCTTATCATTCAGTGCTTTATTTAAAAACACATCGTGAAGTTTCCCTTTCTTTACATCCTCGTATAACCTTTTTGCAAGATGTTCATACAGAGACTTATTAAGTTTAATGGAAAGGTCGTTTTCGATGTCTGTATTCTCTAAAACAACTCTGTTTGCAATAAAATTACTGTTCATATAGTTCACAATTTGGTCGGGAAACTGCTGGCCATATTGAAAGGCGACAACTTCAAATATTGAATCATGGATAAAAGTATATTTTTGATCGTTTTCTGTGATAAAGGTACCTTTTAAGTGAGACAATTGCTGAATTATTTCCCAGTTTTGAGGATATTTTTTTACTTTGCAAGAACGGCATACAAGATTAATCATTCTACTGTCGATCAGCATTTCTTCAGAAAGGCAATTGTTGTTCAACATACAGAGAACAATGGAGAAATACTGTAGGTTATTTCTTGTTTTAATTTTACCTATTTCTGATAGCAAGCATTTATTTGGATATTTAAAAAAATCTTTTCTGTACTCTCTGATGCCTTTATCGCTGCTAAACATTTGACAAAGAAGTGGAAACATGGAGACTTCTTTTTCATGCAAATAATTTAAATCAAAGACACATGAAATCCCTTCATGCATCATGTGAGATTCAAATATACCTTTTTGATCTTCCTGAGTAAGAGTGTTCTCCTCATTATTCAAGCTGAGGATGGTATCCTCTTTAAAAAACACCACATCTAATTCCTTCGCCTCGTTGTACACTGCCAATCTACACGACATAAATAATTTTGATCTCTTTGATTTCTTATCTAAAATATTTTCAATTTGTTCACTATGTCTTTCGAGATCTGATACCAAATTTCTCTCTAAAGTAAACACACCTAAAACGTCATCTATGACAAATATTTGTGGTCTGTTTAAGTCACCAAAGTTGATGATATCCCCGAGTGTGGAGATTGGAACAATCTGATACTCGGACTCTAGCTGTAAAGCGACGTGGCGGATCAAAGCAGTTTTTCCAGATCCGGGAGATCCAATCACAGCAACAATTTGATGAGAAATGAAAAAGTCTTTCATGCTTTTAAAAGAAGAGATTTCAAAAAAGACGCCTTTCCTCCATTTGTGCAATATTCTTTTATGTTGATCTAGAAAATGAGAAATTTGGTTGCATGAAATGTCAAATATATAAATATCGTTTTTAATATTAAAGACTCACTTCTTAATCTTGTTACGGAAAACATTCGCAGTTTCATATTCGATAAAATTAAACACAAAAAATATTGTTTTTTATTCTGTGCTTATTCCAGTCTCAAGAATTTACAAGGAGTGACAAAATAAAATTGAGTGATTAATGTTGGGATTTTTTAAGTGGAATAGTCTTCGGAAAAATAAAGTAATTGATCGAAAGCTACATAGAATATCAATTTGCCTTAATCACTGTAGACTATACAAAGAATATGATAAATGTTTTCAAAATGTCAGTCTTCTATGTAGCTTTCCTGTTTGAGAAAAAACCTAAGAATAAATGTTTGAATCACTAATGTATTTTTATTTTTTTAAAAATGTGTTTCATTTGAGAACAAAGCATTTGAGATGCACAAGCATTAAATTTACAGGTAAATTATTTGACAGATTTGAATTTCAATATCTACGATCTAAATGTTTATATACATATTTATGAACACTATCTTTTAGCATATTTGTGTAACTTAACGTGTAATATGCCTTAACTTAGAAAGTTTTAAAAAATTTACATAAGCTTCAGAGGTTTTTTTTTAATCAATGAAATATATGGAGATAACGAACAGTATTCAAGCTCAAAAGTCCATTAAACAATACAAAATAGGAGCAGAGTAAACACGGACCTCCAAACATCAGAGGTGGGATCAGGTGCCATGGAGGAGCATCCCCTGCCGACCAGTCACACCCGCCTTGTGCTCCTTGTCATGATCGGGAAATAACGGAAAAATCCGTCGACAATTCAGTGTGTAAATAATGGCCTAACAATTAGTATGAAAAACGTCAGTCAGCATTTGACTCAATGATAAATTGTATTTGCTGACAAGGTCATTGTATCGACCATAGAACGTACGAAATGATGACTTTAAACGAGACAGCTGATATTCTTGTTTCATCAACTTGTTTGTCAATAATTTATCTCGTTTTAGAAATTGTACATACGTAGAGCATGCTCTTGCGAGTCGAATCAACTGAGAGATATATACCACGTATGCAGGAGATGAAGGTATATTGCTGCATAAGTAAGGGAAGTTGACGATTGAAAAGTTAAAGTCATCACGTTTATCATAAAACTTGGTTGTTAGATTACCATTAACGTCTTTTTCAAGTAAAATATTCAAATATGAAACAAATGTGTCAGACTCTGTGGTATCTTTTATCTCAAGTTCACTAGGATATATCGTATCGACATATGAGTGGAAATAGCCATTGTTAATTGACAATACGTCGTCGATATATCTAAATGTCGAGTTGAAGGCCACAGCAACTGTTTTCTTCTTTTCACGTACAAGATTTTGGACAAATTCTGCTTCAAATAAATACAAAAGAAGTCTGCTAATAACGGGGTGCAATTGGTACCCATGGGAATTCCAATAGATTGTTGGAAGACCTGGTCTCCAAAAACCACATAGATATTGTCAATCAGAAACTCAAGCATCTTTTTAATGTCAACTTCAGAGTACTTGTGTGTACAATTAAAATGTTTTAACAAAATAATTTTGCAAATGACCAATGACAAGGTAAGTATATTTACGAGTTCCACTTTTATTGAAAAAGCAGCTGTCAATTATATCAAAAAGCCTGGACTTTAATTTATCGTGGGGAATGGTTGTGTATAAAGTAGAAAAGTCATAAGTTTTTAAGCTGTTGATTTTGGTAAAATCTTGTGATTTCAAATTTTCCAAAAGTTCCTTGGAAGTTTTAAGTATCCACATTTGATTTACACCACTTCTCGAATATATTGTTGCACAGTACTCTTGAAGTTTCTCCTTCACCACTATTAATATCTTAGTGAGGAGTAAAGAAAGAGGCTTGGTTGAACATTTACTGGAACCCGATATGTATCTTTGTTTGTAAGGATTTTTATGAAGTTTCAGAATCCAATATAAATATGGTAATTCAAATTCATTTTGGTTGTTTGGAATATTAAAAATATTCAAAACTGACATATGATTTTGAAGAATTTCTTCCTTAGAAAGAACTAAGAACTAAGAGTATAAGTTGGATTACCACTTGTAGAACTAAATCCAAGTTCCTCTAAAATACATTTAATATAATGAGCCTTACAAACAAAGACAATGTTGTTGCCTGCTTTTGTCAGCAGGGACCAGTACGTACTGATCATGTAATCAATCTAATTCTTTTTTTACTTCTGGATTATTGAATACAGAAGGATAGATGGTTTTCATATTGCCTCTCAATCTTTTAATGCGCGATTTTAACATACATCTGATACATTTAATCCATTCTGACAAAGTGTCAAGGTCATCTTTTTCATGTCTGGCCCATCGCCTGGCATAGTCCTCTACAGAATCCATAACATTTATGAAATTCCGACGCCAGTTGAAGGATCTTGGTTCCCTAAATTTAGGACCTTTTAAAATTAGTGATCTAAGGTCCTCATTATTAACTATATTTACGTCACCAGTAATAACGTGTCCAGCAGGACTATAGTTATAGGGCGAAGAAGAACATGAACACGATAGAGGATTATGTTTCAGATATTCGATATCCAGGCCCTGTAAAGTTTTCTTGTAATTAAAAAGTTTGGAAGCAATAGTCGATGTATATTTGTAGGAAATACAAGGTGTAGTATTTAACTTGAAATATATTGGAATACAAGACTGAACCCTTTTGTGATTAAGAATATTACTTATATTAACCGCGTCAATGTGGGTGCAATTTGACATATTTGAATTAAATATTAACGTAGAACAATTGTGTTAAGACTGATGTTTTTGTACGGTAAATAAAGAACGGATACACTTCAAAATACCTGGAAAAGAACTGCATTTTTTTTTTTAAAGAATACAAAACAAAGATAATACAGCTCGTCGCACGGTCTCAAACCTATTCGAATGCTATCATTTCGAAGGGCAAACTCTCATATCAAACAAATGTACTGAATTTTAAAACCTTAAATGTAAAAATTAATGCAAGTTTGGTCTGACTAGGATTTTTTAAGAACTTGGGAATGGATTTATTCCAAACAAGATGTGTTTGTGAAAGACTCATGCCCCCCCCCCTCCCCCCACCCATTACAGCTTTTGGCGAAGGTTGAAGTTTATCAAATGTAAGTCAAACTCCCATTAAAACGGTATTGTGAAGGTTAAAGTTTATTAAATGTGGGCCAAACTCCAAGGTCAAAGGTTTAATTAAAGGTACCCAGGGGGAGGATTTGTCATAAGAAATAAACATGTGAAGTATTAAAGCCCTAGCACAAACCATTCAAAAGTTATGACCAAGGTTGAAGTTTTTCAAAAGTAGGTCAAACGTCAAGTTCAAAATCCAAAGGAAGGCCTTGTCACATGGAATCCACCTGTGAAAAGTGAAGGCCCTATTTCTAACTGTTACAAAGTTATGTCCAAGGTTAAAGTTTTTAAGTGGGTCAAACTCAAAGATCAAGGTCAGAAGGTCAAAAATATTTATATCCTTGGAAAGGCCTTATCAAAAAGAATACCCATGTGAAGTATAAAAGCCCTAGCACGAACTGTACAAAAGTTATGGCCAAGGTTAAAGTTGGGTAAATTTTTACAAAACTGGGTCAAACACCAAGGTCAAGAGTTCAGATATGTACCGAAAGAAAGGCCTTGTTTGAAGAAATACAACTATTAAATATGAGAGCCATAGCTACAGCCAATCAAAAGTTATGGGCAATGGTAAAGTTTTTGCGGACAAACAGACGGACGGACGGATAGGGCAAAAACTATTTACTCCCAAATCTTCGATTACGGGGGCATATTTTTTTTCTGTTCAATTACGTGAAAAAAGTAAAATCTTGCATTGGAAGAATGTCTGGTAGTACGCATCCCTTGATCCTTTATTTATGGTAGTTTGGTCTGCATGATCTTTAAGTCAGATCCAGCATCCGAATCAAGTTTGGAAGCTTTCATTCCTACATGAATCATCCATGCAAGTTAAGTTACCATATCTGCCTGCTCAGAAAACATTAACATTGTTAATCTTATAGAGATTTGTCTAACAGTGTAGCATCTGAATCCCATATGATACAACGAAACTTACAAGATCATCGTCCTTGCGACTCTGATCAACATAGGGCATAGAAATACCTAGAAAGAAATCTGCTCCAAAACTTTAACCTGGGACGCCGAGAGTATTTCATAAGTTTCCTATACTTTGAGTTGAGCTAACAGTATTTTGCTGAAATATCATGCGACCTGAATCTTGGTAAATTCTTACTAATTGTACAAGTTGTAACATCGCTGGTTGTTAGATACATTGCACCATTGTGTCGTCTATCAAAATATGCCACAAGTATTTCCACAAAGATCATGCCACAGGTATTTCCACAAAGATCATTTAACTTCAGATCTTGCAGTATTACCATGAATATTTTTCATGACAAACCTCTTGATAACAGCTGCAAGCACTCATCATGTCAAATATGACTAATTGGTGCGTTGTTTTTCTTGGGCAAAGAAATCTTCATGTGTCCCTCACTCTCTTGCAATAAATGCACTAAAGAATTTTCTTCTATTTTCCTGTAACAATGTGATACAACAAACAACAGGAACATTGGATTAGAAATGCTCCTCTGACTCTTTGCTCTAGATGTAATAATGAAACCTTAACAGCCCCAAATTTTGATATTATCTGAAAATACCGTGCGTTTTGATTGATTGATTGATTACATGTTGTTGAAGGTCCCGTTGGAGAATTTTTCCCTCATATAGAGTGGTTAGAGTATCTGCTCTAGAGTCGTGGAGGAGTTGATTCTTACGTCGCGGGTTCGAATCCAACTGCGGGACGTGGAGACCGGTCCTTCCAGATGAGACCATACAAACGGAGGTCCCGTATCGCAGTAGGTGCTGGCAGGAAAAAGATCCCTCATTTCTCAATGGCCCTGAGTGCCGAGTATAGGTCTAAATTTGTAGCTTTCCACTGG